AACAGGCAGAAACCTCAAGCAGGCTCTGGCTCTAGCTGTATGCCTCGACCGGTTGGGGATGGAGGGAGATCAGAGTTTTCATATATCAGAATCCTTTAAATGCCAAAGACTTTCCAGAAGTCTGAATGATTACGACACAGGAATCATTAGGTGTGGTTTGACTCCCTTCCCCACCGCCCTGTACTCCACAAACTGCTGCATGAACTCTGGGAGCAGCAAATCAATGATCATAGTCTTTATTGACTGCACTTCTGAGAAACATTCAGACGTGTTGTGGCTCACTATCGACTCTCTCCACAGTATACGCGGACTGCTTTGCCTTAAAATTGAATCATTATATCTATTTTCTCTTACACTATCTCTTGGTATTGACTCCAGTTAGAAGATTGAGTTTGTACTGTAAACTAGCGTGCGAGCTGTGTGTATCCGTTCTGTGCAGCTGGATTTTTGAGGATTTATTTAGGACTGAGCAAAAACAGGCGGTAACGAGGACAAGTGGGACTTGAGCCCAAAATGTAAAAAGTGTTGCGAAACATTCTGCCCCACTTAAAAAGCTATTCTGAAGCCTGCAGGCTTTGATTAGCGCTTTTACAGGGTCGGGGTGGTTAGCTCTGGTTTAGCCCTGGCTGTCTGCTGCAGAGTTCAGATCTGCTGTGTTTACGGCTCTTTATTTGCTAAATAGGTCAGACACAGAGTAACGTTCTCTCCTCTCTGCTCCCTTTAATTGTCTGGCTGCCCGTCTGTTTTATGGGAGTGGGTTAGGCCAGTTATATAAATAACATCCATACTGCTTGAGGCTCGAGTAAATATTGTTCTCATTTCCATATGCCCCTGCTCGCTGTGCTGATGCTCTTAGTTATGTGCTAGCTGAGCTACTCATCCCTCCCTCCCTCCATCCCTCCATCCATCCATCCATCCATCCATCCATCCAGCGTCCTGCAGCCACACAAGGCTGTATTTGTCCTGAGTAATTGACTGGCTGGCGCACAGTCAGCCTGACATGCCACATTCCTACAGTCACATATCACTAATAGCAGTGGCTTTGCAGCAGCGGCACAGGGAGGCCCGTGCAGAGGGAAGCTACCTGATCGGCAGCCTCCGACACTGCTGACAGTCCGGCACGCCCTGCTCCGGTTCAGCACTCTGTTGAAGAACAGCGCTGCTGATATTTTTCTGGGAACAGGATTTGATCAGATCAATGCAGATGAAGTCATATATAATGCAGTGAGTGTGCAACACTTGACCATGCAGTGTGCTGTATTGTAGCAAGGGCTGGGGAACGGCTTAAAGTGGGGATTAAAGTGACTCAGGGTGGATTTTGCAGTAGGAGATGTTATTTAAATCTATACTTTATATATTAACAATGAATGAAAGTACTATGTGAACTGTAAAGGATAAAATTACCACCAACTACCTCTGCAACTGCAACTTTTTTAGCCTCTTTTAGCTCATAGCTTTGTTTTGAGAACACATTACTGAACAGTTCAATCTCTTTTTTAGCAAACTGTATGCTACCTACGCAGCATCAGAAACAGTTACGGACACAAAGCGAAGAAAGCTTCTTGGTATCACTATTTTGTGATACCAAAATACACACACTCACTGAAGCTGGGTATGTGAAATAAACACAACTGGGAGAGTATCATAGTTTGGTCCATGATCTCCATCTGGATAGCGCCTGTTTCAGTGATATTTCAGGCTGACTGTGGAGCAGTTTTACCATTCTAAAACCGCAGCATGTCGTTGGGGTCCGTTTCTCCAAAAGTTTCAACTTATCTACTGCAGTTTGCTGCGTTTTCTTCCAGACACTCCTTTAAACAGAGTGCAGGTGTTAGGTTGGATATTTAATTATCAGTTGATGAGGTAGAACAATAAATTGCCATAATTTACAGCAAACGTTTTCCATCTTTGGACATATATAGTCAAACATAGTCACAGTAACTTGTCCATCTAGAGTCACTCATGCTAAGTCATTTAAATATATTAACTATTTGTTTGTCATGGTGTTCCTGCCCAACTAGTCATTGTTTCAGGTCAGCCCACGCAGCACGTGCCAATGCATTTTCTGTTTTAGTTTTTTAGTAGTGTAGTTTCTAACCAGCACCATCTGGCACTACACATTGTGTTTTAAAGTCAGACTCAGCTAACCTTACCAACAGTGTGAACATGTTTTAAACTCCATTCAGGCAAAACTGGAACCTTGGTATCTAGTGATTCCTACCAAATGAAATGCAACAGTGAATCTGTAATAACATTCCCTCACTGCTGTATGAGTGAATGTCATTTAACCCATGAATGACACTGTTTTGAAATTGTTGGCTGAACTAAGTTAGCAGAGCAGAGTGTTGGAAAATTAAATGAGCATTTTCCATGTTCCCGTATTCTCTCTTTACCTCCACATCCTTTACTTCTCTTCCTCTTACTCCACTTGTCACCCTAAACAGTTCATCTCCCTC